TAGGCCCAATAGCTAGGTCTTTTGATCAATTAAGGTCCATTAGGCACATTAGGGTTTTACTAGGCCCATAAGTCATATGTTTGAGCTTTTAGGTCCATTAAGCTTCATTGGGCCCATTAGGGTTTATTAGGCCCATAAGTCATCTGTTTGGGCTTTTAGGTCCATTAAGCTTCATTAGGCCCATTAGGGTTTATTAAACCCATTAAGCCTCATTAGGCACATTATGGTTTATTAGTCCCTTTTTCCAAACATCCAAACGAGTCACGATCTAACAACGCACACTGCCACCCGACACGGCTGCCAGTGGCGGCAGCCACTGCCATACGGTGGTGGTTTTGACTTTCTTTCCATTATTCCATTTTTGTTACAATCTATAATGAAAATACCAAAAGAACACACACACAACTAAGTTAAACACACACACACACACATAACCACCTTGTGGTGGCCGATAGTGGCGCATGGCGGTAGCCACCACCTTACGGTGGTGGTGGTGGTGGCTTTTCCATGAACTCTGGCCAAAAAATGCTCCTGTAGCCCCTCTTACAAGTGAAAAACACACACACAAACACTATAACACACCCACAACCACCCATACACGATGGTTAAGGGTGGCAGAAAAGAAACCAGCGGCAGTAGCGACATGGGAAGGAGGAGGAGGTGGCGGCTAGGGTTTAGCAGCATCCTTCCTTGGACTTGATGGATTCCTCCCGACAACCCGATTAGCACATCGTAGGGAGCAAGGTGCTTCACTGCGATGGTCAGTGGCCCATGGTGGCGAGAAAACTCGGACAAGAGCGTAACAACAAGAGAACGGGCAGCAGCAATGACCAACAACGACCGAATATGGAACCGTCATTGAAGTGGTAGTGGTGATGCAACTGCAAGACAGTAACCACGGATAGAAAATCCCAAATCGGAGGCACCCACAATGTCCACTCCTCTTCCAGTCTTCAACTGATGCAACATCCCATTCCCAGTTTCCATTGGTCTTTGTTGTAGCCGATAACAAGATCCATTCGATGGTGTTAGGTGGTCGGAGTCAGTACCAATGGCTGGATGTAGAGAGGAAAGTGATGGATGTCTTCACCCGTTAGGGTTATGGTTTAGAACCGGGGATGACGGGTTTATATGTCTCGATCCCCCAAACTTGTTTTTATAACAACAATTTCAGCCCTTCCCTCCATAAATTATTTCGAAATAAACCCCCATAACTACCATTTAAACCCTGACCTCGAAAATCCCTTTCAAATTAGGTCCAACTTTTACTAATTAGCCCCTTTCTCTACATTTATTTTCAAATGAAGTCCAGAATTTACTATGTAGCCTCCGCTTTCATAAATCCTTTCATACTAGGTTTAGTAATTACCAAATATCCCCCTGTCTTCTAAAATCTTTACAAAATAAATCCTGAACTTATACTTTAACCCACAAAATATCCAAATTAAGGCATTTGGCTTCCCAAAGCCAACACGTTGGTATATAATTATTAATTTTAGGGCCACTATTCGTTCATTAATTAATTAATTTATTTATCTAATAAATAAACTAGGTGTTACATGTCTAGATTTGAATAACCGCGTATTTCATTAAGACCAACACGACATGTTTATGCCATTACACGGCGTGTTGGCAGCTGATGGAGAAACCCTAATTTTTAGGGTGTTGCACTCTAAATAAACACCTTAAAACCCTAGGGATGACCTCTTTACCAGTCCCCAAACCTCCTAAAAACCCTAATTTCTCCCTTAAGCTTTCTTGGTGGTGTTCTTGAGCCTTGAGTGGATTCTTGTAGTTATTTTGCTCAGTTTGAATGAAGCTTTGAAGATTGAAGGTGCTTAGCTTGGAAGAAAGGTCATATATCCAAAATCACTCCATTTGTTGCAGTCTCTTTGAGGTATCAAGTTCATACCTTAACTTATAAATGATTATATCTCCTCATAGTTTCTTTTGTTATGCTTTTGGCTCCTTTTTGGGTTGTTTGAAGAGTTAAGCCATTTTATGGGATTGTTCTTTTAAATATGAGCTTTATATGATCTCCTTTAGCAAAAAGGTGCAAGCTTTATGAGATTCTTGGTCACATGCATACATTAAGTCCCTTAGTAAGCCCCTATTAAGCTTAAGAGCTTCATTTAGACATGCATGGATGTAAAGTTGGCGATTTTATGTGGTTTTCCAACTCAAGGGAGTTAGATCTATGTTTTTGGGATATGTATTTACGGATTAAGTGCTTATTGGTTAATCCTTACGCTATTAAGCTTTATGGATTGAGTTTTGAACCTTTTTGGGTAGTCCTAATGGATATAGTTGGAAACTTTGTCCTTCTAGACCACATTATAGACTAGATGTGAGCTTTGGAGCTCTTGAAATTGGAGAAAACAACTTAATGTATTAGGCTGTTGAAACTCGGGCAAACACGACGTGTTTACAAGTCAACACATCATGTTGGCTGGGGGTTTCCCAACTATTCGGGTGATGGCAAAACACGGTGTGGCCAAGGGGAAACATGACGTATTTGGTCAATATGGGATGCTGACTTTGGTTTTGACCAGAAGTTTGATCAAGGTTGACCGTGGGATATTTTTGGCCATGTTTGAGCCTTTTTGGATTATTAGGTTTGAGCTTAAGTCCTGGTCCAAACTAGGAAAAGGATAAATTGGTCATTTACCTTAGTAATGGTTTGATGGTTTGAATGCGAATCTAACTATTAATTGAATGTTATTTGATATTGATAGCTTGGGGATCTGTCAACCAGCAGCCAGGGATTATTTGTGTGATTATGTAGTGCGAGGTGAGTTTCGTCACTATGTTTAGTGGGTCGAAGACACCAATGTCGGCCCATGGTTTATTTTGTTAGGATGCTAGTTGTATTGGTATGTATGTCGAGCGGGGCTCGATGTCGGGCAAAACCCGATGACAGTATTGTATGTTGTTATCTTTGTGATTATCGCATTTATTAGTATGATTCTATATTTGTATGCTGGGCGGGGCCCGTTATGTGAGTGTAGGCGGGGCCTGTATCTCAGTGGGTAGGGCCTGTTATGTGCTTAGTTAAGTATGGTATGGGGTATATTGGGAAACTCACTAAGATTTGTGTTTACGGTTTTCAGTTTGTGTTTCAGGTACTTTGGTTTTCAAATGAGAGAGCTCATGATGATTGCAGAGCATACGCCACACGTTTCTGCATTTTACGATTTACTTTTATATTATTGATGTATTGTTACATTGACAACTTTGGTTTATGACTACAATATGGTTTGATGCTTTATTAATCTAAAAATGAAAATTTTATTGTCTTATTTTTGGGACCTTACACATTAAACACGTTTTTTTAAACTACCTTTTCATTAAATTAAAAACGACATTACATTAATTTATAGAAAAAAGTCAATAATTTAAAATAAAATAGAAGAAAACATAAAAAAAAAAAATTCAAACACATACAACTACCCTTAATCATATTTTTTAAACAATGTTATTCCTTTATGGGGAATTCTTCAAGTTTTGTCAAACTTTGAGATGTGCAAAACGTTTATGGTTTGTGTTTTCATATTGATCCGTGACCACATTAACCAGATCGATATCGCATTTGTGTACATTGTTTATGATAAAATTATAAATTTCGTTGAACTCACAACAATTTACCCTCATACGTGTCACTTCGAACACGGTTTGAACTTTTCCAAAAAAATTTCTAAATGTTTGACTATCTCCTTCTTCGTAAACCGACACCTATGCTAGTGCTAACTTCTCTTCTTCCTCTTTTGACCAATTCGTTCTTCTGGGAATCATGATTTTTAAAAGATCAAGCAACATATATATGTGTGAATGTGAATAAAAGGAGTGAATTGTGTGAAATATAAGAAGGCTTGTAGTGGTATTTATATCGATAAAAATAAATTAAAAAATTAAAATTAAAATATTTGTTAAATGGTCAAAGTAGAGTTGGAAAAGGAAATGAGTTTTATTGGTCTTTTTACGTGGTTCTTGGCTTCACAAACTATCACAACCACAACTCACAATGAGACATTTGGATAGTGTTCACGATCATGGTTCATGGCCACCTAGACCATGAAGACCTTAGTCATACCATTTAGGATGGCCTAAGATCACATGTGTTCTTAATTGTATCTTACCCTTGATAATATGTTATCACTTATTATAATTATATATTTTATTAATTACATATTATATATATTTATTTTTTTCGAGTACTATATATTTCTTAGATAAACACTACCCGAAATATTTTGACTCATCTCTTAACCTTTTCCGACACCCATTTTGTTTTATATACGATTGCATTACTTCGGCTATAAAAGATATTTTGCACACGATTTATCGAATAAATTTTATAGAAATAAAAGAATATCACCGTTATCCAGAAAACTTGTATAGATGATACCCAAATAATGTTTTAAAAACATAAGTTTTTATGTGTTTCCTACTTCGGCTTATGCTTAGAAGTTTTCTATAGAAGAATACTTAAATTAAGTTTATTTATTAAAATACATTAATCTACTTGATAAATGAAAATAGTTTTGCTTTATGTCTTATTAAGTTTTTTTATTTTATAAAATTTTATATAATTTATATATATATAATAATAAATGAATATTAATTTCATTAACAAACATTCTTTCTAATTTCAAAATTACTAAATTAAAGCCTCATTATTTTATTTATTTATTTATCTAAATTATTTGTTTAAATTAAAAAAAAAAACACTTTAATTTTAATAATTCAAGATTGTTCTTAATTTTTTTTTATAAATTCAATCTTCAAATGTTTAGAATTTTATATTTAATTTTTTTTAAATAAACTCATGTAATACTTAAATCTCATACCTAGTTGTCTATTAAGAAATAATTTTATTTAAAAAGTAATACTATTATAATTACAAGTTTACAACCATAAACAATACAAATAAAAACCGGTAATAATATTACCTCAATCATTCCACAATCAAAACATATCTGAATTTTCAAGATATAAATCTTGTTGGAATATATTCTATTTATAAACAATTAAACACAAAACGATGCTTTTCGAACACTTGTACATAACTATTTTTTGTCTTTTGTTGCCATACATGATACGTATGATTAAACCATTAGGGGTAGTTAGTGTACTTTTCATTTCTATAAAAACCCTCTCCCTTCCCTCACATATCCACTTTTACCCACATAAGCAACCACAATCTAAAGGAAACAATATGGGGAGCTATTCATATGAGACGAATTTTCAAGAAGATCAATACGAATTTTCAAATCAAACAACCTTCGTTCACGAAAATCCATCTGGGTTGTTCAAGAAACAAGATTCATGGCCCAAAAACAACATCCACAGAAAGAAAAATCAAGTCTTTCTTGAAGGGTATGTGGAGACCTCTGATGAAGATGAAATCGTGAGAGCTAAGAGCTTAACGGATGAAGATCTTGATGAACTTAAAGGGTGTTTGGATTTGGGTTTTGGTTTTAGTTACGATGAAATCCCCGAACTCTGCAACACTTTGCCGGCGCTGGAATTGTGTTATTCAATGAGTCAAAAGTTTCTTGATGATCAGCAGAAGTCGCCGGAGTCTCCATCGTCGGCGGTGGTCGAGGAGACCATTTCCCCACCTCCGATTGCTAATTGGAAGATTTCTAGCCCTGGTGAGTGTTTTCAAAATGTCATTTAATGGTATCATTCAAATGGGTGTTTGAATTCATACAATGGTTTCTTGATTCTAACATAATTAAACTTGATTTGGGATTTTGGTGTAGGTGATCATCCTGAGGATGTGAAAGCAAGGCTTAAATATTGGGCACAAGCAGTAGCTTGCACAGTTCGATTATGCAGCTAGAGAATTCATCAAATCCAAGATCAATCGGATGCTCAAAGGTTCTTGAATCATGATCAAGAAGATGCTCATAAGGTTGAAATACTTAACCTGGAGATGGATGCCTGAATTCTGTCGATGAGGGGTTGAGAATTCAAGTGTTGGATCGGGAAAATTAAAAAAAAATGACAGGAATTTGATGAATTTTGACGAATAGGTTCATATTATATCGAGTTTTGACACAATCACTTGAGGCGAAAGTGGTGGGGTTATGATTATGATTATTGATCATTCCTTGAATGAAATTAGATCTTGTACAAAATTGATAGTTATTTTGTTTTACTTTGTCTTTTTCAATATATGTTTATTGCAGAAATGATAATAATTCGATGACCAAAAACAACATAAAAGATGCTTTTAAGACGCTACATTATTTCTTCACAACAATAATTCAAATCTATTATTTAATATTCTATAGCATCATAAAGTTAAGTTGCCTACTCAAATAATAATTAGGGAGAATAGTTATCTTTTACTTTTAGCCGCATTAGTTTAGTTTTGATGTCTTTACAAATCTCCACCAATTCCCAGTCACTTTTCCTTATCTTGTTTTATCGGGGTATTAATTAAACTAAAAAAAAACCGTACTACTTTTCTTTCATATTTATATTGACAAATGCCATAAACTACTATTTGAAAAAAAATTGTATGCTTATCATAAATTCAAATGAATAGGAATGTTGGTATAGAAGAAAAATAGAAAGATATTTGATTTCTCTTAAAACTAATTCTTATTTTAGCAAAAATAATCAATCTTTTTGAGATTTTACAAAATGGTCATTTTCTTCAGAACATCGTGTTTCAAAGAGGAATCCGGATTCGGAAGTTGGCATTCTGTGCAAGCATGTCGGCAAGGCCGACTTAATGCATAGTAAATCAAAGTTAGGGTTTAGGGCCCCCACATCAAGAGGGCTCACAAACCAAGGAGTCAATGTATAATGTAATGTATCTCTAATCCGGCTAAGGCTCTAAACGGCTAAAAACCGAAATTTCTTCTTCCACACTTCCACTGCATACATCATACGATTTCCGTGTTTGTGCCCTCATCGTCTGCTGCCCTGCTCTGCTCGATCTTCTTCTTCTTCTGACTTCTAAGTTCTGAATCACAGCACAAGTTGTGCCACACAACTGCATACAGTTTCTTCTTTTTAGCTCTCCACTGCTGCACTGCATACGATTTCTTCCTTCTCCATTGAAGCCTGCCTTCTCCAATCTCCATAAACGGTAATAAACGACTTCTTCCAAGTTCCATGATCCATCTGTTCTTCTTCTAATCTTGTTAACTTGTTTTCATGTCATATGATATTGATTGTATTGTAGACTGTAGAGTGTAGACTTGTAGACTTGTAGTCTTGTAAACTTTCTTATACCGAGAGGCTGGGAGCATACTCTTGTTCGAATAAAAGCAACTAATTGTTTGCCCTAATTTGTGTGTTCGAACACTTAATGTTCTGTTGCATTTACAAGAATTGCAACCGCTTTAAGTATCATGTTTGTGTAATTACTAGGGTATTCTATGTCATAGATGATGAGAAAATTATTTCAAGCAGGAGATACATGTATTTATTTACTTTATGAAGATGATATTAGCGTCATTAGGTTCATTAGCTTATTGTTTGTTTAGTTTCTACACATTCAAGGATATAATTCAGTGTGGATGTATTATAAGTTATTTTTTATTGTTTTTAATTATGAGAGGAGTTAAATAAACATGTTGATAACAAATCATTAGCTAATGGATCATGTTGATAACTAAAGCTCGTTAGGATTAATAGTTATTACTTATTAGTTAATACTTTTCAGATTTTAGTTTCTTATTTGTTTGGTTATCTAATTTTTCATTCAATTGTTCATTGATTACAACATATTACAAAATATACAATCATTGAATCAGGTTGGAACTTGGAACGAATTTGAGTTTTTAGTTTTTCAGATTTGAGATTTTCATTATCTCAGAGGCGGTATACTTCTAATCCATATCTTGTATACTTATAATAGCTGTCTTGGTGATTGTTCATTGCTATTATTAATAAAATACTTAATAATAATGTCAAAGAGAAAATACGAATCCAGGGCTTTAAAAAGGAAAAGAAAAATGCAACACTAAACTTTTATTGAATCACAAAAAGGATCATTTTTAAAAAATTTAACATCAAACAAAAATGTTAATAATAAATAAGAACAAACTAATGTTGATAATGAATAAGAACAAACTAATGTTGATAATGAACAAGAACAAACTAATATTGATAATAATGATCATGAACAAACTAATATCAAGAATGATAATGAACAAACTAATATTAATATTAATAAGGAACAAACTAATAGTGAAAGTAACGACCAAACTAATAGTGAAACTGATAATGAACAAATTAATATTGATATTGATAACGAACAAATTAATAGTGAAAATAATAACGAACAAACTAATATTGAAAATGATAATGAACAAACTGGTATTAAAAATGATAAAATGCCTTTAAACATATATGATCCAAGTAGATGAAATAATATTAGTACTAATTTAAGAGATTTAATCGTAGAAAAAAGTCCTATTAAGATTTATGATTTTAAATTTCCAAAAGATCAATATTTAAAAAGCTTTAGCACATCTCTTTATATGCAAAAAATATCAAATGAAAAAATACAAACGAACATGGTTGGTTTATTCCATAGATGTAGATAGAGTTTTTCTGTTTTTGTTGTAAATTATTTAATGTGAATACATCTATATGTTCATTAGCACATAAAAGTAATAATGATTAGAACAATATTTCTAGTATACTAAAAAGACACGAATCAAGTAAGAGACACATTCTTAATATGATGTCATGGATTGACTTAGAAACTAGATTAGCAAATAATAAAACAATTGACAAACAAATCTAAGAACAAATAAATAAAGAAAAAGAACATTGGAAAAATATTTTAATAAGAATCATTGTTGTAGCAAAAACTTTAGGAAAAAATAATTTAGCATTTCGTGGAACAAATGAAAAGATTTATGAAGAAAATAATTGTAATATTTTAACTATAATTGAAATGATTGTAGAATTTGATCTTATTATGCAAAAACATATTAGGAAAATTAATGACAAAGAAATTCATAATCATTATCTTGGACACAATATGAAAAATGAACTTATTAGTATATTAGGAGAAGAAGTTAAAAGTAAAATTATTAAAAAAAATAAAAAATGCTAAATGCTTTTCAATAATATTTGATTATACTCTCGATACAAGTCATAAAGAAAAAAATGTTAATTATCTTACGATGTCTAGATCTTTCAAAAACTCCAATTGAAGTTAAGGAGTACTTTCTAGGATTTTTAATTGTAGATAATACAACCGGTAAAGGCTTATATGATGCTATAGTTGATGAAATTAAAAATATAGGACTAGATATAAATGATGTTAGGGGTCAAGGTTATGACAACAGATCAAATATTAAATGAAAACATCAAGGTGTAGAGAAACGATTGTTAGATATTAACCCTAGAGCATTCTACACTTCTTGTGGTTGTCGTAGTTTAAATTTAGTAATTTGTGATATGGCTAATTCGTGTGATAAAGCTAGTGAATTTTTTGGAGTTATACAACGTATATATTCGATATTTGCTTCATCAACTCAAAGGTGGAAAATATTACAAGATAATATATTAAACCTAACACTTAAATCATTATCGTAAACTCGTTGGGAAAGTAGGGTAGAAAGTGTAAAGGCAATTAGATTCCAAGCACCACAATTAAGAAACACACTTTTACAATTATCCAAAAATTGTGAAGATCCAAAAATTAAAAGTGAGGCTAAATGTTTAGCAACATATGAACTTGAAAACTATGAATTTATTAGGAATGATTATTTGGTATGATGTTTTGTTTGCTATTAACATTGTTAGTAAAAGTTTGCAATCAAATGATATGTGTATCGATGATGCTATAAATCAACTAAATGGACTTTTGTGTTTCTTTGAAGAGTATAGAGAAAACGGATTTGAAAAGGCTTTAGATTATGCAAAAGAATTGGCTTTAGAAATATATATAAAACCTGAATTTCGTGAAAAATGTATCATTCAAAGAAATAGACGATATGATGAAAATGTTGCTAATGAAACTATTAAAACTACTATTCAGTTATTTAAAACTGATTACTTTTTATATATAGTAGATAAAGTCATTACTTCACTTAAAAGTAGATTTGAGCAATTTAACGAGTTCAAAAATATGTTTGGTTTTCTATTTAGTATAGAAAAATTAAAATCATTTGATGAAAATACTTTAAAAGAGCATTGTTTAAATCTTGAAAATTATTTAAAGCATGATGATAGCTTAGATATTGATGGTTTAGATTTATTTCATGAACTAAAACTTGTAAGACATATTGTACATTTAAACGTGATATAATTATTAATATGCTTAATTACATTAAAAAGCTTAGTTCTTTTCTAAATGCATGTGTTGCCTATATGATTATGTTAATTATTATTGTAACCGTTGCCTATGCAAAAAGAAGTTTTTCGAAATTAAAACTGTTAAAAAAACTATTTAAGATCTACAATGTCACAAGAAAGATTAAATGTATTAGCTATTTTATCAATTGAAAAACATTTAGTAAAAGAAATTGATTATGAAAATTTCATTAAAAAATTTGCATCTAAAAAGGCTAGAAAAATTAACTTTTCGTCATAAAATATTTTCACAAAAAAACATATACATAAAAAAAAAATTAACTCCGTCATTTATAAACTTTTTAGTTTATTATTACCAGTCTCAGGCCTAGATAAAGGAGGAGAGTTTATAATATTAAGTATAGTAATGTTAAAGGGCCCCAATTTTTTGGTTTGCTTGGAGTTCCCAAATTGGTTGATCCGGCCCTGCATGTCGGAAAGGCATTCAGAAGAGCTGGTTAGACTGTTGGTGGTGAGGGAAGGAGTTAGAAAGAGTTGGAATGAAATATGCTATAGTCAGTGGTCTATAAATATTCATACCAACACTATAATAACTTGAACTAGGTAACTTTTATATACCATTTTATCTTTAACCACCATTTTATTATCACACAAATAGCTACCTAATTATTTATAATTTCTCACCTACCAAGTCATTGATATGTGTTTGGAAATTTGTGAGAAAAACGGATTTAATGTGAACATGAATAGATAAAGAGAAAAAAATTTTTTTTGATAGGACTATTAAACTTCAGTTTCTAAAAAAATAGATTATTTTATGTTTTAATGTTTTAATAATCACTATGTGTGAGACCCGTATGTTATACGTGTTTGATAAATCAAAAAATTAAATATGAAAGTTTAAACAAAATTTTATTTAAATTTGAAATTGTAGATTTACAATTTAAAATTTAAAAGGAAACATATTAAATACCATATGAGTACTGATATTGTGATTTATTGGTTATTTTCAATTAAAGCAATTGTTAATTGAGGTGTAAGTATGATGTGTTAATTAAGAAAATATAAAAAAAAATAGAAAATGACAAATGGTGAAATGGAAAAAAACAATTATTCAAA